AACTACAACGATGGCCATCATAGAAGTCAAAACACAAAACAATGTGCCACTATGTGAAAACACATTGGAATGTATATGGTCACTCAGAAGATATGTTAATTTTGTTGTAATCGCCCGCCAATTTCAACACGAACAAGATATAACATAATATATGGAGCAGCAGAGTGAATTGTCATCCAAGCATAGAAATTTTTAAAGCGATAGGCAAATGAATAAAGTACTGTTTGTATTAATTAATATTTTTAATTCTTTATATACTTATATGTATGTGTAAGTATGCATATATGTAATTCCATGTGCTTAAAAAATGAAAGGAAACTCATGCAGTGAAGAGGAAAACAAAGACTTGTCACGATAAGACTAATTACAAAACATGACAACTTTAAACTGTTCTTTGTATCTAACTCGCAACATAATAAACCATTCCTGGTATCAGTTAACTTTTATACTTATATGTACGGATTTACAACGCTAAAATCAGGAGTTCGATTCCTCTCGGTGGACACAGCAGATAGCTCGATGTGGCTTTGCTATAGGAAACCACACACACACACACACACTGTAATATACAGTCATGATAGTATGCCAATGAAATCCACGTAAAATAACGCGCTATTTACAAAATGGTATGTATATACGAGTTTGACATAATTATGTTATAATTTTAGCAAGTTATCCTTGGTGAAAGTGGAATTGATTGGGGACACACGGTCCATGTTATTATCTTATTGCTGTTAATTCTCAGGCATTCAGTGACAATAATCCATCTCTTTCTTTTTGCAACTAAATCAAGTGCCATCTACATCGTAGTCGATTTAAATATAGTATCTCTATATCTATGACGCCATAAATGCGTAGAGATCAATTTTGTTACTTCTTATTCGAGCATTTCTTTTTTGTTAGCTTTGTAGGATATTTAGAACAAATGTGTGGAAACGTTATGAGAATGAGTTATCACCAATTAACACTGTACTGGATATCGTGAAAACTTCAGCAACACAGCAAAATTGCAACAAAAATAACCTACTGGAAATTACTGTGTTATACATTATTAACTGTGTTTAAAATTGCATAGACTGTTTTTTAACTACTTGTCCCATTACTGGAAGATATAAATGTGTTGAAATAAAGTCGTATAGTAAGAGCACAACATCCTCGAGCAAGCACTATAGCCAGGATTGATTACAGATGAATGTTTCTTCAATCCTTCACTAAGGTACTTCTCAGCTGATTCAGTGTATCTGGATGGTAGGGTATACGTGAGACCGGTCTTTGAACCTGTTCTGACATCTGTTTTAAGAGTTTGTGGTCCAGAGAAAATGCTGGCTAGTCCATTTGCACAACAGTTTTCTGTACAAGTTAGGCAGTGGGAACACATGCATAGTTGAAGCAAACACTATTATCTATAAAATAGTAATTAGGTCTATGGCACAAGTACAAGCCTTATTAAGTGTAAGGGGTGTAAAATGAATACCTACGTAACAATTTTGTGAAGCATTGTAACAGCTGAAATGAGGAGCAGGTAGTCAAACACATCATTCTTGGCTTTAATGGTCCAGCCCCACGGAGTGAAACAAAACTGGAATACAACTGTGGTCAACTTGTGTCACGAATTTGATCTAGAGGAGGATCGAGCAATTTACTGGGTGGAATTCAAGGTCCTAGATTTAAACTTCAAGGACTCATAAGCTACTGATCTAAATATGTCATAAAAGCTCTTTTTCTGTTTATTTGATCTGTAAAAGCAGTAACAATTTCAGCTCAGCTACAATTTACATATAGGTCAGAACGAAGTGATAAAAGCTTAGCTTGGTTATATCTTGTTAGAAGAAAGGGTATCTGCGAACAATATCTGCGAAAGGGTATCTGATTTTGTTATAATTTGTATAAAAGCCTAATTTATAATTTTTTACTTCACTTGAATTATGGTAGGTAGAAAAAAGAAAAGTTGGATTTTTTCTTATAACAGAGGACCAGGCTTAGTATTAGATTACCTAAATTATATGAGACAGAAAATCAGAAACTGCATAAGAGAAGCAGAAAATGGAAAAAAATTCTGTCCTTTAGACCATTATCATTAGTACAGTGATAATGCGATCTGATTTGAAACTTAGTACAAACAAACAAACGATTTCTACCAATTTTCTTCCAAATAATAGAACATATGTTTCAATGATGAAAGGTTGTACACATCACGAAATTGTAAACCTAAAAAGACAACATGAAGTATCTAAAAATGGTTATTCATATCTAGATTCCTGAACGAAACATATTACTGAAAAATAAAAAAACAACCTTAAAACGAATAATTAAAACACTATAAATCCCAAATATGTAGTTGTTGTGAACGACAAACAACCTTACAACATATTTTTAAAACGTTGTAAAAATATCTTTAATGCAAAAATGAAGTTAATGTTTTTATACAAATACGAAACAAAGATGGTCGTTTTACCAAGCAAACATCATGATCTGCTTCAAACACAATGACTGTACCAGAACCGTAGGAGAAAAGAGTGAAATTAGTATAAAAAAGTTAAAAGATAAAAATATTCCCACTGGTAATCTAGTGAACAAGACACTACGCTTCTCTCGTCTGTATGAAATACTAGTTAGAAAACTCGTGAAAAGGAATTATATACTACATTATCATCCATGTAACCTATATAAAGAATAAGTACACGAATAACAGGTGTTTGGAATAATAAACTTATCAACGATTGTCATTTATATAACATATGTTTACTTATCGATGTAGATATGCATTTATAGAAAAGTATGCATATGAAGATATATTAAGAGTAGTTAATGCATAACTTGAAATTAATACAATGTAAATATTAGTGTTACAGTCTGAATTAAATGATAAACGTCACATTGTACTAAGTTATAAAGGGCCCTTCTACAAACAATGCTTTTTTTAACATTACAACCAGTTTAATAATTGTTTGATTGTTTGTAATTAAATACAAAGCTACACAATGGGCTATCTGTGCTCTGCCCACCACGGATATCAAAATCCGGATTCTAGCGTTGTAAGTCCGCAGACATACCGCTGTGCCACTGGGGCTAATAGTTGTGACAGAAATCACGTAGGCTACAGTTGTTTTTTGTTTTTTTTTACATTTCTCTTAATTTGGCCATTGTGGATTTAAGATCAGAGTTGTGTAAAAAGAGCATCTGAAATCTGTCTTTGACCTCCCAGAAGTTACTAATCAGGCACATTTTTTCCAACAAAATAATTCTTCAGTTTAGTTTACCTGAACGTTACTTGTGTATTTATGCAGCACAAAAACTTTGAAGATACGGTTTTGATTGCCGAAAGCTGATGAAGTATAGTAAACCATTAAGCCTGTTGGTTTACAATATTAGGGTTGTTGATTCTTTAGTATGGAAGCACATTATGTTAATATAATAATAAGTTGGCAAACAACGATTTATAAGTATAATGAAGTGATTTATTTTGGGGAAACAAATTACATATTTGGACAGAACATTGGACTGAAGAAGGATTGTTGGTTTGTAATACTTTATCGACTTCTATCTTTCGAGACCTTCATAATTAGTTTGATCAATTCAAAATGTGGAATATAGGCTTCCTGTAGAAAGTTTGTACATTCATGCATATATACACCTGGAAAAAGTTAAGCACCCCCAAATATTTTTCAGGATTGCTTATTGAAAATAAGGTTTAATTTTCATGATGTTGAGCATAATTTCAAACATAATTAAAAGGATGTGAGCGTTCAGGTGTGACATTTAAATCAGGCGCG